CATGTCCAAAGGACATAAAGGCCTGGATGACCTGTAATTTTCTTTATTTAAATTCAGAAAAAGTGTTGTTATTGTATTTGGTCCTCAACACCTCAGAATCACATCATCTAACCAGATAGTTGCTCTGGATGGCACTGGGTGGGCTTTCAGTTCTACTGTGAGAAACCTTGGAGTTATTTTTGACCAGGATATAACTTGCTATGTTGTATGACAAACAAACATAACACATGTCTGTAGGACGACATTCCTTCACATACGTCCTATTGTCAAAATCAGGAACATCCTGTCTCAGAGTTTGCTGAAAAACTAGTCAATGCATTTGTAACTTCTGTTCTGGACTATTGTAATTCTGTAATACCAGGATGTCCCAATAATTTTCTTAAAAACCTCCAGCTGATACAAAATGCTGCAGCTAGAGTTCTGAAAGCAACCAGTAAGAGATTATATTTCTTCTCTATTAGTTTCTCTTCATTGTCTCCATGTCATCTAGAATAGAATTTAAAAGCCCTGTGTGTTTTCAAAGTCCGCATTGGTTAGCACATGGGAACGCATTGCCAGGAATTAACCTTCAAGCTTATTTCATGCATTCTGCAGACACAAGAATACATGCAGATGTTCAGATTTGAATGTATGACGAAATTTACATCCACACAAATCCAAATATCCATATGAATTCCAAAATGTGACCCTGCGGAGTGTTCCTACTACAGGTGTACTGACAAACAAAAGAAATTGGTGTTCAAAACAAGTGAGACTATACGAGGAGATTCTCTTAGTTATCAACACCTTCATAGTTCCTAAGTAAAAGAGCTGGACTTGAAGTAGTTGCCATCAGGCAGGAAGCCTTGATTAGTACATGCTTTTTTCAAAAGAGCCCACAAACAGTGGGAAGATAATACTTCAATAGAGCTGCGCTTGTCTTTTATGCGGCTGGTTGCAATTCCCCTTATCCTGAACACAGAAAAACACACAAGAAAACTGCTGCTGCTTACAGACTGGGCTGTAGCTCCATATAAGTGATTATTCCTGAGGTGTACTCGGCACAGAGAAAAGGGTTTTCTAGAGTAGAAGGACCCTGTCGATAAAAGCATGCACAAGCAAAGCCCCTTCAAAGTCCAGCAATGACTACTTTAGTTAAAACTCTGTTACTGATGAGTTATAAAGGTTCCTTATACCAAACATTTGTTTTCAGCACCCTTTTCCTGGCAGAGTCAGCAAGCTTGTAGTGTGGACGGTCTGCGTGTGCAAGGGCATTGGTGACATAAATTAAGTCATTTACCCAAATTTGCAAGGGTGCACCAAAAACTGCATAAGAAAGACAGACGTAGCAATCGATGCAAAACACCCTGGCCCTGCAAGACACCAACTCTAAACCCCATAATGAGAGGTCAATAAAGACAATTTTTTCGACAGGTCAGTAGGACTTTTTTGTTTATTTTCCTGGCCAATGCGGGGGGCTGGAATATATCACAGCTGACTCAGGGCGAAGTCAGGGGACACCCTGGACAGGTCACCAGTCTATCACAGGGCTACACTTAGAGACAGACAATCAAGCACACTCACATTCACACAGGGAGGCTGACTCAGGTGGTAGAGCGGTTGTGCTCTGATGGTAAGGGTGGCGGTTCGATCCCCTGCCCCTCCACAGTCGAAGTGTCCTTGGGCAAGACACTGAACCCGAAGCTGCTCCCAAAGAGGCTAGTGCCTTGCATGGCAGCTCTGTTGCCATTGGTGTATGAATGTGTGTGTGTGCAGTCCATTTGCCATCACCTATAGACAATTTAGAATCACCAATTAACCTCAACATGTTTTTGGACTGTGTGGGAGGAAGACGGAGAACCCGGAGAGAACCCATGCTGCACGGGGAGAACATGCAAACTCCACACAGGAAGATCCCAGGTGACGCGAACCGATGACCTTCTTGCTGTGAGGCAACAGTGCTAACCACCGAGCCACCTTGCATCTGAAAATAATTCTATAATTCATTTAATACAAGGCAACAAAAGTTTAGTGACATGAAGTTGAGAAAACCAGTGATGCTTAAAACAAATGTTTGGTATGAAGAGACTGCACAAGGAGATTCTGTGTCATCCACACCTTTACAATCCATCAATAAAAGGGTTTTAATTAAGGTATACCTTGCTGGACTTTGGAAGAGCTTTGTTAATTCATGTTTTCATTGACAGAGTCTAAACAAAGTAGGAGATCCTCTTTCCCCAGAAATCCTATAAAAAACATGAAGTGGAAACAAGGGTCTATGCAATGTAAATTTCTTCATCACCCCCGCTGTGGCTGCCCTTGTGCAATTCAAAATTTGCATCCATGGAACATATAGACATTAATCTACAAAGCCTATGATTAGAACTGTGTGTGTCCACTCTTTGTTTTCAAAGGTCTGCAGTGATCTATGTGCACTGACCCAAAAGTACAAATTGGCCAAGACAAAGCAGAAGTAGAGGCTTACAAGAAGGTCCCTTGCGGAAGCACCAATCTTATCAAAACGCAAAACTAAATTGCTTGAGCACCTCTCTAAACAACTAAACAGTTTTGATCATCATAATTGATTCTTGCCTGGAATTCAGTTGTACTTCTTTCCACACATTTCCGACCCCCCCGCCAACCCCCTTGGCTCGCCTCCACAGAGCTTGAAGCAAAGCCACAACATTTGGAGTGCCACGTATCACAGTGAGACACATAAGAATTAAACCACCATAGCCTCAGATAAACACTCTGGTGGTCAGTGCACTTCATATTTCAGTCGCTACAGTGCTGTTCTGCTCAGATGGGAAAGCAGCACACAGCTGTGAGCATACACCCAATATTTTTAAATAAGTCATGAGTACTTAAACACTATTTAAGTAAATATCCAGTGAAGATATAAGATCGGATGTTAATAAATGGAGATAAATAAAACGTTTATTTCACAGTTAGGATTTTATTCCATGTTGGATAACTAGAGCAATCTTCGAAGTCAAGGGGATCAGTTTGCATTCAGAAGTCTTGTGTTTTCTCAGCTGGTGCACAGCAGAGACAGCTCCTGGCTGTGGCACATACACAGAGCTGAGCGCTGTCTCCCAACAAAAATCATCTTGGTCTTTATTCTGTTAATACATTATTGAAAGCTATTTTTGCACCTACACTCTAAGAACAAAGGTATTGCTGCTGTCATTTTCAACGTCACAGAACAGAAAGGATATTTTGGGAATCTTTTTTTCTTCTTTTTCATTCTCCCTGAAGTTCTCGAAGACTTGACTCCCCGCAAGCAATTTTTGTCTTAGCATCTGCTTGTGCTGTGTGTCGAGAGGCTTTTGTTGTCATGCTTCTTAAAACAGGCAGTCATAGTTTTGGAATACACCAATTCTGCTGGCTATTCTGCACCAAAGCTTTTTATTTATTATAAGGCTGTCAAAGATTAAAGTTTAGGATTTTCAGTCATGAGTTGTGTTTATTTCCCATGTATTTCTTAGTTTGATCTTTAGTATTTTGAAGTGGACCTGACTACAGTTTCAAGTTTTCCTGTTGTATGGCCTTCCTCCTTGTTCATACAGCACTGGCAAACATGTAAGTAAGTTCAAATTACATGGCCAAGTTGTCACACTTTTCCTCTTTTTCTCTATTCCTAAACCCTACAAGACTGCAAATGCCCTGCAGAATCACTGAGATGTTACACTATCACTGTGCAAATCTGGATTATAGGTTACACATTCTCAGAGCCCTGCAGACTAGCCAAGGGAGAACCCAAGTCCCCATCTGAATTGTGTGTGTGTGTGTGTGTGTGTGTGTGTGTGTGTGTGTGTGGAGAGCAGAGAGTAAGACTAAGGGATGGTAACTACACACAACATCCAAGGCCTTCCTGAGTCAATCACAAAACTAAAACTCTCCCGATGCAATTTCTGTGCTTTTGTCTTTGTAGCAAATAGATTTAGCCTCAACCCTGGAAGATGATTAAATAAACAATTATGTCGATCAGTTTACGGTGGGGCTAGGCTGAAGCCGTCAGCAAATTTCTCTCTGGGCTTGACAGGGTTTTAAAGGCTTGCTAGAGTTGCATGGTTGTCTGTCACTCTGTGTTGGCGGCGCTGTGATGTACTGGCGATACTCAGAAAGGTCACAAGTAGTAAGTACAAATTCAAGTACAAAACCCAAAGCAGTGACCAGCCCCTGATTGTATTTTCCTCACTGCTCCCCAAGTTGTGAATTCTCAAACAACACGTTATGTATTCCAAGATCCCTTCTGCAGCTGCTACTGTGCTCAAGCAAGGGCTTTGGGCTTTGGTTTATGTAATGATGCAAAGCAACCCACATACAGTACAGCTGAGTTGCTGCATGGCCAGCACTGTGGCGAGCTGAAACAGAATCATTACAAATACTTTCACTTACTGAATTGGCTGCTGGATGTAAGACTGTATTTAATGGCTCAGTGCAAAGGACTCAAGAGAAAAAGCCCAGCATTTGAAGGCTAGAATCATGTCCCGCTATCAAACATTTTTAAGGACAATAACATTTCTCTTATATAGACAATGATTAAATTGCATAAAAAATGATGAGCCTCTCTATTGCAGGACATATTGAATATTACCACATACACAAGCTGACCACAAGTTACTAATGACGTGCCTGAAGGCACCTTTCACATTTAAGGGAAGAGCGACCACCTGCCAATGGTCTGTCCCATTAACCTTGTGCACAAAATGCTGACAGAGAGAAAATTCTTCTGACTTTGTGTGGAATACCATCAGCAGTGACATTAAATCCTGTTGTACAATGGTCAAAGGTCATCTGAGGTCACAATGACATTTTGTTCTCATTAAAATGTTCATAGCTGCCATGAAACAGACATTCAGAGCAACACTTAGTTTCTGTCAAAATTAGGTGGTCGTTCATATCCTTCAGATACCCATTACAGAAATACAAAGCAAGAGCTCCACATGGTGCATCACTCAACATGAAAGAACTATATTTAGGAGTTTGGGAACACATTATTACAAGTAAGCCAACCTTGAGCTTAGAATTTTTTTAATGAAAGAAAGTAAAAAACAATATTGCAAAAATACTTCTTGTAAAAAGTGCATTTATGAAGACTCTTCACCAACATGCCTTGCCTCGGTTTCACTTGCTTCCCAATAGCATGGCAGCCTTTTTCTTTTTAAGACAATTTGATGTTTTGTTCTCAAGTCCACTTTCCATTAGTTATGCGTTCAGCGGTGTACTTAAGTGTTTGGTCTGCAAAAAGAAAAACAATACACAAATTACAAAAAGACTGACAGTACAGCACTTTAATTTCAGACCTTTCAGACTAACAAAACAACTCAGACGGTGCCAAAACAACAAAAAAAGCCATGAAATACTGTACAAGTATGACATTATATGGACTGGTGAATCTCACTATTTCTAATTAATTATTATTTCTAAAAAATTAACAACAATAATTTCACACTTTCTTAAGTGGCTTTCAAGAACATAAATAACTACAGTTTAAAAATGATGTGTTAAAATAAATTAGATACTACAATGAGTTGTCAATAAAAACTCGGCTAAAAGAGTAATCTAAAATCTTGACATTTAGTATTTAATAGCAGTAAATTAACACGTTATAAATGGTTTATAGAAAGACTGTTGACAAATGTTGTGATATACAGTATTTGTCAACAATGACACCTTTTCCTATTAAGACATATTTTACATTATAACTGTTTCACAGCATAATAGCAGCCTCAACTTGTCATAGTTATGATTATATATATATATTTTTCTACTTCATACTTTGTTGTAGTCCATTATAAACAGGCATACAATGGAGTGTTCATATACTCATCATAAACATTAATTGGGAGTCATAAAAGCACAAGCAGGTTTCCTTTAACAAAAAATGTCAAAACTTCCATCTCAAACCACAAAGCTATGCTTATTCAAAAGCTAATTTACAAATGTCAAATGGAGCTTAGTGTAGTTCTATAAACAAACTAAATCAAAGTTTGATGCTACTTTGATGCTACAGTGTGTTCCCATACAACCACTCACAGTCACTAGTCCGTCAACAAAATCTGGAATTTTCTTCACAAAACAGGCTTTTTGGCTAATAGTGACACAGTTATTTGTATTATTCTAGTCTACCAATCTTTTTCGTAAATGGTCAGTAGATTCACAAAATACTGAAAATACCCATCGCAACTTTCAAAAGCGGAAAGTCATTGTTTAAAAATACTGATGAAAATGAAATAGTTGCTAATTAATTTTCACAAGTAATTTCTAATGACAACACCTCCAGAACTAACTCTGTAACTACAATTACTGCCTTGTGCCTCCACAAACTGAACCTGTGAAGCTCCAGTTTTCATCCATGTCTGTTAAGGCTTATATAGTATATGTAGCCAAGACTTTGATGGGATTTATTTGGTTGGCATCACTACAGTTACCAAATAAATATTCAACCAAATGTGAGGTATGGGCACAATCTCTCTTTCTGTTTCTGCGATATGGTGTTGCACAAAGGCCAGAAAAGAGTTCTTGCTGAGCATTAAAATGTATGTGATGTTAATCTTTGACATTTGGATATAAAGTGCTGTTACTTCATAACTTTTGTCCAACTAGATATTTGTGTGAAACATTGTCTTTATTAGCGCATGGATTCTACAGCTATGGCCAAAAACTAAGAGTCCAAATGCTGGCCAAAGCTGCTTTAGGCATGGAGACGTAAAAATGGACACCTACTTACTTGGACAAAGGACTTTTGCAAGTGATGCCTTCACTTCCCAAAGCTCAGGGTTCTCCTCAAGATCTTTACTGGCTTGGAAGCTTGTGAAGTGCAGCGCAGGCCACCAGTCTTTTCTTGCAGCCATCTTTTCACAGACAACATTCTCCCAGTCTTCTCTGTTTTACACACAAATGTATTGAGTGACAGGCTTCAACATAAGGTAGTGATGAACAAAAAAAAACTGCAGTCTGTTGAAAATTAAATAAAAATGTAAAATATCTGTATTTACTGTATCTGCAGTTTCTGAATAATGGCCTTTAAACATTTCCAGATATCCATATTGGTCCTCCAGCAGGTGAAGTCCAGCATTTCCAGAATGACTCCAAAAGCTTTCTCAATGTCTTTTTTGTTCTCTAACAAAGCAAATAAATGATGCATATTATGGCAGAGAAAGGGTTTTCTGGAGACATGGCTATAACAATAGAGAATATATATGAACTAAAAAATTAAGACATCTTGTCCAAAACCTATAAAAAATATTTTATGTTGAAACAATATGATTCCTGATGTTTCCTGTTTAGTACTGTCAAAACAGAGATCACTCAGCTGAAAGAAAAACATAAACCTATTCTACACTATTCATTCATTCTCATTCTACAATTATTAATCATACAGTGGGCTAATCTTTTTTATTTATTTTTATTTAATGCAGGATTAAAGCTGTTTTTACCTGAGTCAAGTAGGAAGGCACTGTAGTCCAACATCAACTCATGGCTTGGCACTAATGCATGGAGAATCTACAGCATAAAGTGAAGTTTTATGAGTGCATTAGATACAGCATGTGTTTCATCGTGTGTTTTTTGTGTGCTAAACTGTAAATCTATTAGCAGTCAAGCACAATTTGTAGTTTAACTGATGTAATATCCCAATTGCTATAAAGTTTAACAGGGCTCATTCCAATGTCATATCTCTTTAGGATATGTAATACACACAACTAAAACATGAAATCAATTAAATATAAAATAAATATGTGAAATACAATTTAATGTGCCAGTTTTATGACACTTTAAAGCAATAACTCAATGCCATACTTGTTCAGTGCTAGTAACATGCAGTTGTACCTTTAACACTCTGATCAATTTCTTCTCCGAAGCATTGTGACGCTTTAAGTACTGGTACAGATAGACATGTGCATTGGGATTGGGCGGAAAACTGTTGTCATATGCGTATTCATTCAGGATTTTCAGAGCCTCCTCATGATCCTCATAGAACTCCAGCATCTGCCAAAATAAACAATAGTTACACAACAAGCAGCAATATTTTCCTGCACTGCACAACACCTAGCCTAAAAAGAGGGCTATATTTGAAAACAGGAAAGATGAAAAGGTTATTTCTTTATGCAAGTGCATGAAACAAAGACTGGTGAATCAAACTGTATGACAAGTGTGTCTTTTTCAGCAGCCATTGATTATATTCAAGTATTCTGCTGATCACTTTCTCAATTAATCATTTGTCTCCAAAACATCAGAAAATTAGTTCCCTGAAGTTCCCAGAACCCAAAGAGATTTCTTCAAATGTCCCATTTCATCAGATTAACAGTCCAAGACACTATGACATTATGTTCACACTGAAAAAAACTATTTAACAAAAAAATATTTACATTTTAGGAATTTTGACATTGTTTTACTTCAAAATGACTCATTAATTATCAAAATCTGTTGCAGGCTAATTATTTGTCAATCAACTAACTGATTACCAATCTGACTGTTGCAGCTTTAAATATAGTTGTTTTTTTTTTTTGTTGTTTTTTTTTTTTTAATTGAAGTGTTAAAGAATGAGTGCTTACATCAACATAACTCAGTATAAAGGGATCCCAGACCCCTGGATTTTTCAAAGTCTCCTTTAGATTCACAGAAGCTTGTCTGAAGTTGTTTTGCATGCCTTGGTTGTCATCAGAGTCAAAATGATCTAAAGAGAGGAAGCCAAATATTACATAATGAGATACAGTTTACATCTGATTTGAAACAAATGATATAGAGTTTCTTTAACAGTATGAGTGTACACACAAATATATTTTTCACAAACAGCTCGGGTTGTTCTGTTATGCATGCAGTTACTCTGTCTGACCTGCAGGTGGGACTGTGACACCACACAAGCAGCTGTCCATCCAACTAGCACAAGTGAATAATAGATGCATTGGGGTGTTGAGCTGTGTATCGCCTTACTATTGGAGCTTGTCAACTTTTTGTCACACCAGATGGCATAATCCAGCAAGCTCCTGTATGCCTGGATCAGTTTTGTCCTCTGATGCTGAGCTGCTGACTCCTTCCCATGCCTCCAACTTTCAGCTGCAGACAGCTGCAACTTTGCATCTTCAGTCCGACCATGTAGCAGCAGGTGGAAAGCATGTTCCAGACATATCTTGTAACACACAAAGTGAACAAGCCTCATAAAAAAGTAAACATAAAAACTTTGCCCTGCTGTCAGTTTTATTTTTAGCAAACATACCATTAAATGATGTCTGACTCCTGAATGTTTCATTCGTTCATAGACATTGTTGTAATCGTCCATTGTTGAGTTGGGATGATGATGAAGGATCTCAGTGGTGATTCTCCAAATAATCTGGAGAGGGAATTGCAAAGACAGGATGAAACCTTAGAACAGTATATTAAACTTGCAAACAATGCATCCTTAAATTGTTAGCATAACTCGCCTTTCTGTCTTTTAAACCATTTTGTAACATTTTCTTTTTACAGTCAGGAAAGTCTTCATACTGTTGTGTC